TGAACGGGCGTACCACTGTAGCTCCCGAAAGCTTATGCTCAAATAAATGTGTTAGTCTCTAAGGTGCCACAAGTCCTCCTGTTCTTTTTGTGGCTACAGACTAACACGGCTGCTCCTCTGAAACCTGTCATTACTGCTCACAGAAGCCTGAAAGGCAAAAACATCCTGTGGGAACGTCCCCCCAGGCAAACTCCTGGCCTCTGTTTGCCCGTCCTCTGTTCACCGTTGCTCATTCACTTCGTAACTGGCTGCTTTTTTTGTAAGGCTGCTGACTTGAAGCAGTTGGCGCAGCTCAGAGCTCAGTAATCCACACAACAGAGAGACCTTGAATCCTGCAAGTGGAGCTAACGCCATGTTAGACATCAGAGCAGGGAAATTCTCTCAGGGCCCTGACTGGGGCTGGCCATGGTGACAAACCCATTTCCTCGTTCCCACACACTTCAGGGGCGTTTGGCTCCCAAGGATCCAGCTGCCCATTGCTGGGGTGAGGATCCAGCAGCAGCCGAGCAGCAGCTGGTCAATGATCCTCTGGCTCTGCCTGGTCTAAGCAAACCCCAGGCAGAGGAGGAGAAGCCCCGATCAGCCCCTCCTCCCTGCTGCAGCCCTGGCTGCCGAGCAGGTAGGCCACAGAGGGGAAGGGAGAGAAAGAAACTCTTCCAGCCACTCCCTCTGCCTGGCTGAAGTTCCCCCCTCTCCCTTCCCCTCCCAACCAGGATCCCCCAGCCATGGAGATGAGGAGAAGGACACTTGGGCCAGGCCCCACCTTAATTCTACATACCTGTCCCCATCCCCCATCTTCCACCAGCCCCTAGACTGGGCTCCCCCACTTTCCTGGAGCTGTTCCCTACAGGGGGAGTGTCCCTGGCGTCTAGTAACCCCTCCCCTCCCCAAATCCCCCAGGGCGCTGTGTTCTGGGGGATCAAACATTCAGGGACCAGAGTGATGGGTTCTGGGGAGGACACTGGGAACTGAATTGTTGTGGCTGGTGGAGCTGGGTAGCTGGGTGCTGGGATATCGAGCGTTTGGGGATCATGGGATAAGAGGCGAGGGAGAGCACAGGGGTAGAGAGGTGCTGCCTCTCCTCACTCACCCCCTCTGCCCCTTTTCCCTGCCCCCGCTGCATTCAGACAGCAGCACTGGGAGGGGCTGATTCCCACAGGGCCCTTTGTGGCAGGCCTGGAGATCCCACCTCTGCCTCCACAGCATCACTTAGCGTCTCTCTATGGTAGGAAACATGGTCGGGATTAGCCGGCGCATCTCTGTGACCCTGAACCGGATTTCTGAGTATAAACGCACCATGAGCATCTTACGTGTAAGGCTAAGATTTTTTCCTGGATGTTTTTAGTAATATCAGGAACAGCTCACGGGCAATGAAGCTAAATTTGCAGAAGCCTGTGACCTGTCTGTGACATATACTAATAATATCCATGACGATATGGGGAGGGAGGAGGCTCCAGCACCTATGGCTGCTGTGGCTCTGGGGTCCCATGGTGGCTGGGCAGCTGTGAGGGTCTGGTAGAGAGCTGCAGAGGCCCCGTGCCACCCATGGCTGAGAGCCTCAGAGGCCCCCAACACCGCTCGTGACTGCTAGGAACTGCAGGACCCCTATGGCCTGCAACAGCTCCGAGCTCTGGTGGGCAGCTCTCGGCTGCAGCAGGTGGCAGGGGGACCCCGCAGCTCCTACCTGCCATGGTCTGAAGCCACCGAGGTCTCTGGAACTCACAGATTCCATGACTTCTGCGAGCTCCATAGCAAAATTGTAGCCTTACTTATGTGTTCTGACCCTCTCTCATTAGCACAGTGATTGCTAGTCCCTGACTTCCCCCTTTGGGGCCTGATTGTCTCGTTCTCAGATAGTCTGACATTTTTCCAGGCCACACTGAAAAGCATTTACTGTTTGTACATTTTTCCCTTTATGGGCCAGCATTAACTAGATGCTAAATAAATGGGGAGCAGGGACAATAGAATGTGGTGTTTGGGCTTCTGTGCTATTTCAGGTCAATGCGGTGAGTCTGAGGGATTCCCTCGTTCCCCCCTCACCATCATCCTCCACTCTTGACACTGTAACATCTGCCCAAGCGATGGAGAGATTTATCCCATCCCCGTTCTACCCCCCGCCTCCCAAGATGTAACTTATCACTGGGTCCCTGGTTCTCCATGCTAAAGAATCACAGTTTTGATGTCTAGGATCCTAAGTCGGACTCCAGAGGGCTGGAGAAGAAAGTGTCCCAGACCTGGGAGTGGGTGGGGAAATCCCAATGAACCTCAAAGCACAGTTTGTCCTTTCAGATCTCAGAGCTGTTTCTAGCTGTTGGTAAAATTGTTTCCTCGCTTTTTCTAGGCTTAGTCCAGATCATTTGTAGATGGGAAGGTTTCTCTTTCTTCTTCTTTTAATATAATGGTGCTAAAACTTTTGCAACTAATACAACTGAAAAATGAAAGCGGTTTGGTCTCTTCAGAAGAAAATGGGTCTGTTTATTTTCCTGATTTTTTGAGCCTTGAAGGATTCTCTGAGATTTCTCTTTATGGATGGGAAAGTGTTTTATTGCCCACTTTGGACTGTGGATTTTTTTCTTTTCATGAAGGCTGTTAGGTCATATACTTTGATATTAGTTTAGTTTGGCAGATGTAGCTCGGATTTATTGAGAATTTCATGAGACAAGTGATCATTTGCCAAATCATCCTTTTTCAGATTTTATTTTATTTCAATCTTTATCTAACTCTTTGTCATGAGATTCTTTTGTGTGGTTTGAACAATGACAGTGATCAGTATCTCTCAGCATGAACATAGATGGTGCAAACTAGATTGAGAGGCAGAGACTGAAACAGAAATGAATTTATTGCCTGATCCCTGCAGTGATGTGAGCTACTGTTGGGAGGAGGAGAAGGTGAAGGGGAACGGAGCTGGGAAACTGCTGGATTTTCTCCGTGGAGCCAGACGGCTGAGACTGAGAACTGTGCACTCACTGCACCTGTGCTAGAGAGTGACTAGACTTGGCCTGTGTAGTGTGACGCTGGACCTGAAATCTAACGGCCCATGAACGACACCCCAAGAGAAATTATGGGGGCAGCATCTCCCTATTGCTAAGATGCTGAGGTTAGGAGCAGGCAAAAAGGGAGCCGGGGATGTTAGGAGACCTGGGCAGCCTTGAAGCCAGGCCGATCCCTCACTGAGCCCAGAGGGAGATGCCCTCCCCATGTACCACCATGTCCTGTGTTGGGATGACAGAGTTTCTTTGCCCCACTCACCCCACACTGCATCCCTCTTGTGACTGACCCCTGCGTCGGGTGTGGATATATTGTGTGCAAAGTGTGCCCGGTGAGGGATCACTGGAAAACTCATGATCTGCTGAATATTGTGCTGTTGAAATGCAAGTAACACCAGTGCATGTAGAATGGTGAGATTTTAATGTATGTTTGTTGCTAGGCTGAACGTATTCCAGGTGCCCCAAAAGAGGACACTGATGGGGGGGGGAGTTGGCGGGAGGGTGTAGAGTTAGGGGTGTTGGAGGGGGTACTCACAAGGTGAGGGCAGTGTTGACTGCTGTCACAGTGGCAGGGGGGTGGCAACAGCTGTCCATCAGCCTCCACCGGTGGGAACCCCTCCCCAGGGCTGGGAACCTGGGCCTGGGTGGGCGGGATCTGGCAGCAGTCAATCAGCTGTGGATGCAGGAGAACTGGCTAGTTGGGAAGGTGACGAATCAGGGCTGTTTCTATGCTTCAGTGCTGGTGCTCTGCAAACACCCCCGGACATTTCCTGTTATGGGAAAACCCACTTGGCAGCCTCAAAAAAGCGGATCTGTCTGTAAAAATCCAGATATATGTCAAAGTTTTTGTTCCTGAAATATGTCATAGTTCTGGGGATTGTCCCACTCAAACTCCTCAGGGATGACGAAGGACCAACCATTGGTGTTAGAAAACTCTTATCTGGCCGACCATCACCAACGGGAAGAAGGGGGGAAACAAAGAAATGTATAATTCACCTGAAGGATGCTTTGGAGCTCACATACACCATGAAGATGCCTGACCCCATAATTGTTGGCCCCTTACTGAAACTTAATGGGGGGGGTTTTGGTTGGCCCTCCCCCAGTACCAAAAGACAGGAAGGGCCAATGAGAAATGAAAACCCTGCGACTAGTCCCCAGGGCCAAGGGAGAGAGGCCAAGGCTCTAGGTCAGCCTCATTGACAGCACAGGCAGGCCAATGAGGGAGTCAGGAGCCCGTTCTCTGAGTGAGCTGGAGCTGCCTGCCAGAGAAGGGCAGAGCTAAGGGGAGAGGAGCAGCCAGAGCTGGGGTGGAAGAAGAGCAGCATAAGCCCTGAGACAGAGGGAAAGTGGGGCCTGAGCAGTCCAGAGCTGGGTGCAGTGAGAAGCTGGGGAGAGCAAGGGGGGACCCTGGGCAGTGTGGGATGACATCATGTTTTCCTTTCCCATTTCTTCCTGAATTTTTTATTACTTGCTGTTTAATAAATCGTATTTGTTCTAAATTCTGTGCACTCCTGAGTGACGACATCAGGGAAGCGTCCGGAGTGAAGAGAGCGCCCCAGACCGGGGATACGACACCCTAGCCTCTGTCCTGAGTGATCACAACAAGAGTGGGGGTGAAGCCCCCTCAGGAATGCTGGGCCCAGCCTTGTGGGGGTTTAGGGACTAGAGTGGAAGGGGCATCCTCCAGGTCAGACAGGCCTCTGGGTAAAGGGAGTGGGAGAGGGGACTCCTGTACTTCTGTTATTCGATCCCATCAGGGTGGTGCATAAGCCAGAAAAGTTCCCCACAACAGTAGGACCCTTCCCGCTGCCTACCTCTGTACATATTTATTGGTTTCTCCTAAAGTTAGTGCAGATTATAGGGGAAAGTGTCAGAGCGGCCACCAGTGACACTTGCTGGCCACACTCTGAGGTCACCAAATGTGGCCGTGAGAACCCCTGGGCTCGATGCTCAGGACGGGCCCTTCAGACCTTAGAGCCTGGGAGTGTAACAGGAGCCGGGCACAGGGATGCTGCAGCGCGGTGGGTTGATCGCTAGGACCCAGGAGCGGCTGGGGGGCGGCTCTGGGGGGAGGATCGCGGGGCTCAGGCCCGGCCGCAGGAAGTGACTCGCAGCCGCTGCGGGGACTCTGGCTCCCGGCGAGATCCCCGCGCCCCGGCGGCTGGTGCTGGGAGCCTGGAGCCCGGGCTGCAGCCGGGAGAGGGGAACCTCCAGCCGGGCCCTGCCCGCTGCTCCCCGGGAGCCTCCCCCAGGGCAGAGCCCCCAGCCCGGCCAGGGCCCCTTCCCGGCCCGGTCCCTGCCCCGGGGGGCCCCGCTCGGAGGGAAGTTAAGAGAGACCCGCCCCCCCCCCGGCACCCCCGGGCTGCAGGAGCAAGTGGGGAGGGAGGTTCCCAGCCCCGCCCAGATCCATTCCCTGCACCCCCCCCCCCCCGGGGGCAGTTCGCTCTGCTGGGAACAAGGGCCGGAGCTGAGAGAGGAAAGGCCCCTTGCTCGCCCTGCTGAGCACCGCACTACGGAGGGAGACGGGGGAGAGCTAGAGGGGGCCACAATACACTGTAGGGCGATACCCTGAAGTGACTCCTTTGATCTGCTCTTTTTCCAGCGTTTGGCTCAGAGATGCTGCTCTGGGGAGGTTTAGAAGGGACGTGGTGGGTTAGTTCTAAGCAGAGGGGGCTGGCCGGGGAGGTAATGAACTAACTGGGTTTGTTCCCAGCATGGCAGAGTCATAGAATCAGAGCGTCTGTCTGCAGGGAGAGAGCCTGGGGGGAATCGGGGAGTGACATGGACTCCAGCCCCTTGTGAAACCTGCCCAATCTCCCATCTCCTCCTACAGGCTGAGGAATCGCGTCCACGTTTCACTCCAGATCATCCCGTCTTGCAGGGGACAGGCCAGGAAAATGGCTGTGATGGAGCCAGCTCAGGTAGGGGATTTTCAGGGAGCTTGTGGTGGGGGGGGAGGGGTATTGTAGAGGGGTTAAACACACAGGGTGGGACGGGGTGCGATAAACCTGCTGGAACGTGATCAGCCTGGGCCTGGTTTTCTGAACAGGCCCATTGGAGGATTGGGGGGAGCGGAAACATTCCCCAATTTCTGACCAGGAAACACCCCGCTGGGCAGGGCTAGGAAGACTGACCAGACTCCCAGTGCTGAAGCCTCACCCCACTGGCCAGAGGCTGCTGTGAAGTACGAAGGGAAGCTGTCGGGATTCCTGTCCCCGTCCCCGGCTCGGAGCTCTGCTTCCCGTGTCAGCCTGTGGCTGGCAGGCATGTAGGAAATGAGAAGACCCTGCCCTGCTCCGTGTGCTGGGGGGACAAGGAGCTCTTGCCGTCTCCCAGCCCCTGGAGCCTCCTGGCTGCTCTGAGCAGGGTGCGGGGAGGATTCTGCTTCTCTCTCCGTCCTACCCCATGACTAGTGGGATTGTGGCTGGGGCAGCAGGTGCTGAGTGGGGGATTCTTGTTTCAGATGCCGGTGTCCTTCGAGGAGGTGGCTGTGTATTTCACCCAGGGGCAGGGGGCTCTGCTGGACCCAGCTCAGAGAGCCCTCTACAGGGACGTCATGCAGGAGAACTACGAGACGGTGACCTCGCTGGGTAAGGGATTCCTGGTCCCTTGGTTATTGGAAGCTGGGGGGGTCTGCGTGTCTGACACCAGTCAGGTTCTTCCCTCATCACGCTCCAATGAGAAGAGGGTGTCAAAACATAAGGCACATACTAAATCATCCGCACCCAACCCCCTAGCTTGCACGGTGGAGAAGCCGTGCATTGTCCTGTCTGTGTTGTTTCTCGGTCGTACACAGAATCCCTCTTCTCCCTCCTCCTTGGCAACAGCTCCAGCCATGTGGAGGACTCTAGGTTCCACAGGTTTAGAAATAGGCAGGGGTTTAACACGAGAGCTGGGTGTGCATCACAATTGCCCTCACCTCCTCAGACGTCTGCCTCCCGCAAGGGGGCTCAGTGACCACATTCCCGTCCTCTTAGATTCCACTTTCTCCAGCACAGCACTGGGACAGGTGCCACCTACGGAATGTTCTTTCTGACAGACGATCTCTCAATCCTCCACAAACCCTGATCTGGTCTGATTTCACTCCCTGCACAGGATTTCCCCTTCCCAAACCTGACCTGATCACCCGGCTGGAACAAGGGGAAGAGCCGTGGGTGCCCGATCTCCAGGCCTGTGAGGAAAGAGAGATCCCGAGAGGCTCCCACACAGGTGAGGACTGATACAGAAGCCATCAGGTGAATGAAGGAAAAAGTTGAGAATCCCCAAAATGACGTATTAGTAAGTGCCCTCAGTTCCTTTCTCATCTCACCCAGGGCAGGGCTGCAGGCAGCAGATATCACTGACATCGCTTCCCACAGGTCCTGTTCACTGCAGGAGTTTCCCTCCCAACTGGGAAGTGGAGGCAGAATCCAATTGCTCCATCTCTCCAACCTTTAGTATGTTGGGTTTTCCCTCGGTTCTATTCCTCTTAATTTCTCCTCAGCAGAATGACTCCTGTCTGCATTGTCTCTCTCCCAGCAGGTGATGAGAGAGTGAGTGAGAAGAAGGAGGGGAATCAACATCAGGAAATTCCTGGGCATGGGGAACCACAGGGGATTTTTGTGGGAAGAGCTGAAGGGAATTTTTCCCAGTGCTTGGCACAGGGAGAAGCCCGGGGAAATTGGCAGAGGTCAAAGAGGCTGCTGGGAAACCACTCAAGGGAGCAACTGGATGGATCTATTATATGTGGGGAAGGACACAGGGATCCCACAGCCCGGCAGACAACCCCCAAGGAAGACAAACGCTATGAATGCCTCGGTTATGGGAAAGGATTCATTCTGAGACCGGTGCTTCTTACGCTTCAGGCAATAAATACTGGAGAGAAAACACTTCAATGCTTGGACTGTGGGGAAAACCTCAATAACGACTCAGATCCTACTAACCATGGGAGAAGCCACATGGGAGAGAAACCCTCTGGGTGCCTTGAGAGCAGGAATTGTTTGAATTGGAAGTCAGCACTGATTACACATCAGAAAATCCACACAGGAGAGAGATCCCATCAGTGCTTAGACTGTGGGAAAAGTTTCACAGAAAGGCCAACCCTTCTTAAACATCAGGTAATCCACACAGGAGGGAGACCCCATAAGTGCTTGGCCTGTGGGAAAAGTTTCACAAGGAGATCAGTCCTGGTTACACATCAGAGAATACACACTGGAGAGAGACCCCATAAGTGCTTAGACTGTGGGAAAAGTTTCAGAGAAAGGCCAACCCTTCTTAAACATCAGCTAATCCACACTGGAGAGAGACCCCACGAGTGCTTAGACTGTGGGAAAAAATTCGTACGGAGGTCAGGCCTAATTAAACATCAGAAAATCCACACAGGAGAGAGACCCCATCAGTGCTTAGAATGTGGGAAAAGTTTCATACAGAGGTCAGACCTTGTTAAACATCAAGCAGTCCACACCGGAGAGAAGCCCCATAAGTGCTTAGACTGTGGAAAAAGTTTCACAGAAAGGCCAACCCTTCTTAAACATCAGGTAATCCACACAGGAGAGAGACCCCATAAGTGCTTGGACTGTGGGAAAAGTTTCACATGGAGATCAGCCCTGGTTACACATCAGAGATTACACACAGGAGAGAGACCCCATAAGTGCTTAGACTGTGGGAAAAGTTTCATACAGAGGTCAAACCTACTTAATCATCAGGCAACCCACACTGGAGAGAGACCTCATAAGTGCTTAGACTGTGGAAAAAGTTTCACATGGAGATCAGCTCTGCTTACACATCAGAGAATACACACAGGAGAGAAATCCCACAAGTGCTTAGACTGTGGGAAAAAATTCGTACGGAGGTCAGGCCTAATTAAACATCAGAAAATCCACACAGGAGAGAGACCCCATCAGTGCTTAGATTGTGGGAAAAGTTTCATACAGAGGTCAGACCTTGTTAAACATCAAGCAGTCCACACCGGAGAGAGACCCCATAAGTGCTTAGTCTGTGGAAAAAGTTTCACAGAAAGGCCAACCCTTCTTAAACATCAGAAAATCCACACAGGAGAGAGACCCCATAAGTGCTTGTATTGTGGGAAAAGTTTCACATGGAAATCAGCCCTGGTTACACATCAGAGAATACACACAGGAGAGAGACCCCATAAGTGCTTAGACTGTGGGAAAAGTTTCATACAGAGGTCAAACCTACTTAATCATCAGGCAACCCACACAGGAGAGAGACCTCATAAGTGTTTAGACTGTGGAAAAAGTTTCACAGAAAGGCCAACCCTTCTTAAACATCAGCTAATGCACACAGGAGAGAGACCCCACAAGTGCTTAGACTGTGGGAAAAAATTTGTACGGATGTTTGGCCTAATTAAACATCAGAAAATCCACACAGGAGAGACACCCCACCAGTGCTTAGACTGTGGGAAAAGTTTCATACAGAGGTCCCACCTTGTTAAACATCAAGCAATCCATACAAGAGGGAGACCATAAGACTCTTGGAAAGGTTTCAGAAACAGATTAGCCCTTCTAAAGATCAGGCAATCCACACACGCGAGAGAACCCCGTAAGTGCTTAGACTATGGAAAAATGTTTCAAATAGATGTCATCCCTTGTTTTACATCAAAGAATCCACACACAGGAGTAACCGCATAACTGCTTAGCCTGTGAAAGACCTTGTAAATGGAGGTCAGAACTTGTTTCAAATAAAGCAGCTCACACAGGAGGGACCCCATAAGTGTTTGGACCATGTGAAAAGTTTCACACAAAGATCAAATCTTATAACACTCAGAGGATCCACACAGGAGAGAGACCGCATCAGCACTCAGACTGGAAGAAGATAGCAGTGCTGTTGATTAATTGCTGTTAACTCGTGTGTTTAACTCAAAAAAATCCATTGTGGTTAGAAAAATTAATCTCAGTGAATCACATTGTTAAACAATAGAATACCAGTTGAAATTTGTTAAATGTTTTTGGATGTTTTTCTGTGTTTTCATATCTATTGATTTCTCTCACAACAAAGAATAGAAAGTGTACAGTGCTCACTTTATATTATTTTTGATTTCAAATATTTGTACTGTAAACATGCAAAACAAAAATAGCATTTTTCAGTTCCCCTCATACAAGTGCTGTCGTGCAATCTCTTTATCAGGAAAGTGTAACTTAGAAACATAGATGATTTTAATTATATAAGTGCACTGAAAAATAAAGCAATTAAAAAGTTTAGAGCCTCGAAGTCAACTCATTGCTACTTCTTCATCATCTGGACCCATGGAAAAGAAGCCCTTGAGGAATTCCACCATGATTTCAACAATTTCCATCCCACCATCAACCTCAGCCTGGTCCAGTCCACACAAGAGATCCACTTCCTGGACTCTATGGTGCTAATAAGCGATGGTCACATAAACACCACCCTATACCGGAAACCTACTGACCGCTATTCCTACCTACATGCCTCCAGCTTTCACCCAGACCACACCACACGATCCATTGTCTACAGCCAAGCTCTACGATACAACCGTATTTGCTCCAACCCCTCAGACAGAGACAAATACCTACAAGATCTCTCTCAAGCATTCTTACAACTACAATGCTCACCTGGTGAAGTGAAGAAACAGATTGACAGACCCACAAGAGTACCCAGAAGTCACCTTCTACAGGACAGGCCCAACAAAGAAAATAACAGAATGCCACAAGCCATCACCTTCAGCCCCCAACTGAAACCTCTCCAACGCATCATCAAGAATCTACAACCTATCCTGAAGGACGATCCATCACTCTCACAGATCTTGGGAGACAGGCCAGTCCTTGCTTACAGACAGCCCCCCAACCTGAAGCAAATACTCACCAGCAACCACACAACAGAACCACTAACCCAGGAACCTATCCTTGCAACAAAGCCTGTTGCCAACCGTGTCCCCACATCTATTCAGGGGCACCATCATAGGGCCTAATCACATCGGCCACACTATCAGAGGCTCGTTCACCTGCACATCTACCAATGTAATATATGCCATCATGTGCCAGCAATGCCCCTCTGCCATGTACATTGGCCAAACTGGACAGTTTCTACGTAAAAGAATAAATGGACACAAATCAGACATCAAGAATTATAACATTCAAAAACCAGTCAGAGAACACTTCAATCTCTTTGGTCACTCGATTACAGACCTAAAAGTGGCAATTCTTCAACAAAAAAACTTCAAAAACAGACTCCAATGAGAGACTGCTGAATTGGAATTAATTTGCAAACTGGATACAGTTAACTTAGGCTTGAATAAAAACTGGGAGTGGATGGGTCATTACACAAAGTAAAACTATTTCCCCATGTTTATTCCCCCCCCCCCACTGTTCCTCCACTGTCAACTGCTGGAAATGGCCCACCTTGATTATCACTACAAAAGGTTTTCTCCCCCCCCCCCAGCTCTCCTGCTGGTAGTAGCTCATCTTAAGTGATCACTCTCCTTACCGTTTGTATGGTAACACCCATTGTTTCATGTTCTCTATGTATATAAATCTCCCCACTGTATTTTCCACTGAATGCATCCGATGAAGTGAGCTGTAGCTCAGGAAAGCTTATGCTCAAATAAATTTGTTAGTCTCTAAGGTGCCACAAGTCCTTTTCTTTTTACTTCTTTTTCTGCCACTCGCTAAGACAAACAAGTTTGTTTACATTTACAGGAGCGAATGCTGCTTTGCTTCTAATTCATGATGTCACCTGAAAATGTGAGAAGGTGTTCGCATGGCATGTTTGTAGCTGGCAGCGCAGGTATTTATGTGCAAGATATGCTAAACATGCCTATTGTCCCTTCATGCTTCGGCCACCATTCCAGTGGAGGATGCTCATTTAAAAAAAAATAATGCATTAATTACATTTTTGACTGAACTCCTTGAAGGAGACTTGTATGTCCCCTGTCCTGTTTTACACACATTCTGCCAAATATGTCATCATATCGAAGTCCCGGAGAATGACCTAGCACATGGGGGGACACTTTCACTGCAGATTTGATAAAACGCAAATAAAGTAACTATCTGAGATTTTGAAAGATAGCTACAGCATTCGGCCCAAGGTTTAAGAATCTGAAGTATCTTCCAAAATCTGAGAGGGACGAGGTGTGGAGCTTGCTTCCAGAAGTCTTAAAAGAGGAACACGCTGATTGGGAAACTACAGAACCCGAACCACCAAAATAGAAAATCAACCTTCTGCTGGTGGCATCTGACTCAGCTGAAGAAAATGAGCATGTGTCGGTCCGGTCTGCTTCGGATCGTTATCAATTAGAACCCGTCATTAGCATGGAGGCATGTCCTCTGGAATGGTGGTTCCAGCGGGAAGGGACCTAGGACCCTTTAGAGCATCTGGCACGTAAATATCTTGCAACGCCGGCTGCAACAGTGCCATGAGAATGCCTGTTCTCACTTTCAGGTGACCTTGTAAACAAGAAGCGGGCAGCATGATCTCCTGCACATTGTAACCAAACTTGTTCTTCTGAGTGACTGGCCGAACAAGCAGTAGGACTGAGTGGAGTTGTAGGCTCCAAAGTTTTACATTGTTTTATTTTTGAATGCAGGTATTTTTTGTACATAATTCTACATTTGTAAGTTCAACTTTCATGATAAAGAGATTGCATACGGTACTAGCAGTTGGTGGATTGAAAAATACTGTTTCCTTTGTTTTTTACAGTGCCAGTATTTGTAATAAAAAATATAAAGTGATCACTGTACACTTTGTATTCTGTAAAAACAACAAGGAGTCCTTGTGGAACCTTAGAGACCAACAAATGTATTTGGGCATAAACTTTTGTGGGCTATAACCCACTTCATCAGATGCATGGAGTGTATTCTGTGTTGCAATTGAAATCAATATATTGAAAATGTATAAAACATCCAAAATATTTAAATAAATGGTATTCTATTATTGTTTAAGAGCACGATTAAATCACAATTAATTTTTTTAATTGCTTGACAGCTCTAGAACATAGTAATTGTAGTAGTCTATGTTAATCTGTAATGAGATATAGATTAACAATATAACCAAAGAGTTCCTGTCTAGAACTGTATTTTGTTAATTCCGAAGTCAAAAGGAAATATTAACATTTAAATGAAACTTGGGTGTAATAATGTCATAGTATATATTTCTCTTTTTAAAGTTTGTGGTAAACTGTCTGTGAATGGCTTTATGGATAATTACCTTATGTTAATCCGTGTAGTTTTATTACCTGTGATGTTTGGGAAATAGGAGGTTACTTCCAAAACCCATTGTTCACCCAAGGACTGCCTGCTGTCGAGAGGCTGCAAAAACGTCTATATAAACGCTTGGGACCTGATCCTTTTATCTCAGATCTTCTTAAGCTTTATTCAGGGGGAGTTCGAGTTGTAAGACTGAGATCTCCAGTCCTCTCTGGACCTCCCAGATATTGGACATTGGACTAGAACGTGATGAAATGATTCTGAAAAGGACTCTTTTCAATTTAATGCGCCATCTCGATGGTGAAACTGACCTATGGACTCTATTCGCATTTGTATGTCTAATGACCTTTTAGCCAATACTGTCTTTTCTTCTTTTAATAAATCCTAGTTTAGTTAACAAGAATTGGCTGTAAGCATGTATTTGGGTCAGAACTGAAGTATTCATTAACTTGGTGGGTAACATGTCTGATCCTTTGGGTTTGGTAGAATTCTTTATATGATGAAGATTTTCAGGAATCCCCATCAGAATCTCAGAGGACATTTTCCCGTATCAGGTCTCGTTAAAGACTTGCCTCTGTTGCCACTCTGTCAAATCAGTTATTTTGTTACAGCATCTCCCATACCATGAAGGGTTTACAGAGCTGAATGATGCCTCATGTCTGTGCCAGGTAACTTTCAGTGAAATTAGCCTGTAATTAAAATCCAAAGTTAATTCCCATTAAACTTGACAGCAGTTCCCTCCCTTGTACTCCTGGGCAGCCTCCTCTGGGAACCACCGTGTGAGCTCGATGAGCCCGGGACAGATGGCAAACCAGACAGATCGAAGTTTATCCTCTTCACAGAAGTTTTGGAGCCTCCTGGTGTTCCCCACACACCCTGTCTCCTCCTGCTCCTTTTGCTGCCTGTAAACTCAGCCGCTTGGTGATTTCTACCATGTTTGCCAGCTGCCTGTTCAGCCTGATGTTTCTGTGTTGCTCAGTTCCTGAGGGCAGGAGACGGCTGTATCGGATCCCTCCCAGCACTGGCTGACGTGCCGACACGCCAGAGCGACAGCTTCTGTGAACTACTCCAGACAGACGGGACATGTAGCTTCCTCCTGGAGACTTTCCAGGGGGTTCTCTGTGGCCATGGCTCCCTCTGGACCATTTAGTGAAAAATGTACCACTAGGGCTCTGGTCTTGCAATGAGAGGCATCCCCCTGTGAGGATGAGCTCTGGAAGGGGTTACCTAGGGAGGTGGCGGAATCTCCTTCCTTAGAGCTTTTTAAGGTCAGGCTTGACAAAGCTCTGGCTGGGATGACTTAGTTGGGGATTGGTCCTGCTTTGAGCAGGGGGTTGGACTAGATGACCTCCTGAGGTCCCTTCCAACCCTGATCTTCTACGATTCTATGAGCCTGCAGGAGCAGGATTTGTGTGTCTAAGGCAGGATAGTCAGGCTTGGTAGAATTCTTTTTTTTTTTTAATATATATTTTTAAGCAATTTTATATTTATTGATTTAAACATTCACAGTTGCACAAAAATCTGGGTTTTTAGCATTTCATTCCAATTGTCCTCCATTTAAATGTTCACAGTGGTGGGAGATTTAGGGCGGGCTTAGACAATATTTGGGTCAGACAATAACTGTGTAATGACAGTAGAGACAGATTCCAAAAGTTAGAGCGTCACAACCATTAAAATAGAGAATGTCAACATCACATGTCCAAATACATGGCTTCTCCACCTTGCAAGCGAGGGGGGTCGGGTGGGGATGATTTAGTATGTGCCTTGCGGGGGAGGGATAGCTTAGTGGTTTGAGCATTGGCCTGCTAAACCCAGGGTTGTGAGCTCAGTCCTTGAGGGGGCCATTTAGGGATATGGGGAAAAAAATCTGTTGGATGATTTAGTTGGGGATTGGTCCTGCTTTGAGCAGGAGGTTGGACTAGATGATCTCCTGAGGTCTCTTCCAACCCTGAGATTCTATGACTAGGTTTTGATACCCTGGTCTCATTGCAGGGTGATAAGGGAAAAACCTAACCAGTGTCAGACATGAAAACAACGCC